CAACCTCAAGCTTAAAAAAGCCAATATAATGTGTATTATTATTAGGTACTATATGAAGTACCTATGTATATATTTATTAATAATTGTAATTGTAATATTTTAATTTAGATATAGGTACCTCCTACCTACCTATACTATGGTTGGTTTATATGTTATAGGTATTCTTAACAAATTTGTGAAATAGGTACCTTCAAGCATTTTTGCGATTGTATCTGTGCTGTATGTATAATTGAAAAAACCCCAACCATTCGGTTAACAATAATTATTGAAAAAGATATATTATTTGTCGATAATATGCACTGTAATCCAGTAGTGGCGTCCCGTAAGTAGGTTACGCAGTGTGATCGTTAGTATTGCCGTTGTCTTCTGATCGGTGGCAACTGAGCCCTGCAGTAAGGAGTTGTCCGTGATCATCTTTTCATTGAATTCTATTGACTCAGGTCTGCGACACAACAGGTGTCCTAGCTACCTATGCATAACCCTATCGTCTATTCGTCTATTATGGTCGGCTAATATTTCACATTGTCAAAATCACACTGTGGACCAGACGATGTTCTCCGAGCAAATTAAATACATAAAGTACAACCGCGAACAATAAAAAACGAAAAAAAAAACTTTCTTTTGTCCCGCAATATCGCTTTCATCACTTAAGGTCCTATATATGTTTTATATAAATTTATATATTATAGGTACGTGCGATTCCTCGGAGCAAATACGATGGTAGGTAGTTCCGTTCCTAGTGCGATAGGTATGTTACGTAAACAATTATTATTTTGTTTCTTTACTTTAGTAAAAACACAATAATTATTGCCGGATGTCGAAAACATTCCAAATGAATAAAATATAAAGCCCATAACAGAAATGAGGAAATTTTACGGTAGCATTTTCTCGAGGCAAATACGAAGTCTTTGTCTCACCAATATACCTTGAGAATTTAAGAACTGATTATGAATTTTCGTTGCCTATTTTTATTATAAGATTATTATAGGTGTAGTTTTAATACCACGTATTGTATCAACACCACATGTTCAATAAATTCTAATGGTTCTTTTTATAATCACATTACGCAATACGTAGGTATACAGAGTACAGCCATTTTAACATATTATACATTTGCGTAACTATCTTAAACTTTCTGAAAGTTTCTGAAAAGTTATATATTAATATATTATTATAATGTTGCTAATATTAACTAGTTTTTTTTTAGATTCTAACCACAATTTTGAATTTCTACAATGATGTATGATATTTTTGTTTCTTGTTTATTTGTAAAAATGTAAAAAAAATCAATCTTTGAAGGTCGTTTCTTGTACCAAATTAGATTTTTTTGGTACTTCAGAGGAATAAAATTGAATAGTTAGGAATTCTTAGACATTTTCAAAATAATTCAGAAAAAAACAAACAAAAAAAAATAAGAAAAAACAGAAATACGTATATACTTAAAACCAGAAAATCGATTTTTTTTCTTTTTTTGTAATTCAAAATTGAATAACCGTACATACGATACATTTTCACCAAATATTTATATTTATATTACATAGATTAGCTATAACTTTCTAATTATTTTGGCTCTTTTTATACCACTTATTTGTATAGACATAATTTGAAATGTTCGACTTTTTACTTTTTTTTTTTAGTTTTCAATGATTTATGTACCTATGTCATGTGCATTAAATATAATTTACTTAGTTCTGTCTATTTTTACATCCAAAATCGATGACACATTGCAATATCTATTTGACATCAAATAGTATTAGTAACAAAAAACATCATTTTGCAATATATATTTTACATTGTGGAGCAGCGGTGTATAATGTTTATGAATACTGAAAGTATAGTTTTATAGAAGTTATAAATTATATATTAGTAAATAATAATTATCGATGATATGTTACATAACATAAAAGTTTCGACGTTTATTTATACATTTTAATTGCTTATGATTTGAATAATGATCTCTCATAGACCTCATATTTACTGCAATATAATATTATAGGAGTAGGTATATTATTTAATTTTTTATTAAATGTATTTTAAATGTGGTTCTGTGTAAATAGGTACACAAAACCGTATTTTACCTTACAAGATAGCAACGATTTTTATTTGTATATTATTAAATTTAAAATGTTATACAAGAATCCTCATAAGTTTTATTTTACTGAAAATTTGAAAAGTTTAGCTTAGGCCTTAAAACCAAGTATATTCATATTCAAATTTAACAAACGTGATATCAAATGTGTAATAACAATATTATTTAACCTCAAATGATTTTTATGATTATATTATTATTCAAAATATAAAAATTATTTTGTAATTCATTACTCCACTATTACTTTAATCATAATTTTCTACAGGATGATTCACCAAGCATATGCTCACCCCAATTTTTCATTAATAATGGATTTAATTCAACAATTTTAATATCTTTAGAGACTATTTTTTAATTATGAATTTGTTGTACTACTTAAGGCGTGTCCTGTCAAACTTATTGGCCCATAAGAACCACCTTTTTACTGTAAATTGTTTAGGGACATTTTTTGAAACAAGTGTTTGTATCTAATTGAAATTCAAAAGTATAGTCGCAGTTCTTACAAGTATGTATACGGAATAGGGGACTAGTCCTTTAAAGTGGTCTGTTATTGCAAATATAAAAGATGTAAACTGGATCTAGTTTTATTAACTTTGCTTATTTTACTAATATTAATGTGTGATCGATAATATTAATCATTAAAATTATCAAAATTACCCATATAGGTACGCATCTTCAAACCTATTACTCTAAGTTCTCAAAGATAAATAACTCAAAAACTACTTGTGCGAATTTTGATACTGTTAAATTAAAATTTGCAGAAAAATTATTTACTAAATAATTTATAGTAGAAAAGGTAGGTTCTCAATTGAGAAACAGAATTTTGTAACTTCACAGCACACTTCTAATAGTGCAAAAAAATCTAAAGAATTTGGAAATATATTTTTTAAGTAGTTTTCAAAATTCCAAAAGTTAGATCATGAATAAAATTACTGCATTATTAAAGAAAAAAAATGGGGGTGAGCATACTAGTAGTGAACCACCTTGTACACAATGACAATTTCAAAATATTCAGACTAATGTTAATCTATTCAAAGGTGGGTATTTAAAATTTTCAGTTCTTATTATAGGTACATGTTGAAAAAAAATTATATGCACTGGCAAATAGCTTGAGTATAATATAATAGGACAAGCAAATAACACAATTCTGTCAATTTGTCTAACTTAAGCCTTACGCGCAACATAGGAATTTAGATGTATTCTATTTCCAAATTGCATCGCCAGAAAAGTTCACGAAAAATTCAAATCAGTTTTCAGAAGACTCTTTACTAATTAGATCGCATTGATGTGGAAATAGGACACTGTACACGTCTAAATTATTATGTTGCACGTGTGTCAAACAAAGACAGAAATTACCACTGCCAAGCCCTTTAATAACAATATTATATGATACACATCTAATCATCATTATGATAATTAACAACACAGTATAATATGCGATGTTTTTTATAAAAATTAACTCAACATGCCTCACCTATGTACCACTAATAGAAAAATAAATTACTCTACTACTTTAATACAAATACATTTTTAAATATCCTTAAAAATAGAAGCTGCCACATAGCTATTTTCGTGGTTTTTTTTTTAATTACCTACCTACTTTTTCTAATCATTTATTATTTGAAAGACCAAACAGAATATATGTAGTTCATATTCAATAGATATTAATTTATTAAAACATTTAATTAACCTATTACATATCATAAGTGTTTTTATTCTGATTTTGTACACTGATAATAAATTATAATAATGCATAGCTGTATAGGTAGGTACTCGCGAAGTTTAAAACGTATTAAAATGTACAAGGTGTAAATTAATGTAGCCATCTATACCTATAAACATTTAAAACAAATATTTGTAACGTACGTATATAGAAAGATTAATTAATTTACTGAAACAATTCGACTGGCCTTCTGGAGATACGTAATACATTTTTTTTCAATAACAATGTTGTTGAATCATTTAATTAAAAATATGGTTATTCTAGCTGTTTGTATTAGCTAATGAGTAGTCATTGGAGGCCGGCATATAATAGATCATATAACTAGTATTAAAATTGAAAATATTATTTCTTACTACTATAGTACTATGATTTTATTGATTATTAATAATTCGAAAAAAAATAATTATTGACAACATTTAGTTTACCTTGATGATATTAACTCGTTGTTACTTAATCTTGTAATTTAAATGTTAATCAATAAAAGTTGCATTATGTACATGTTTCAAATGATAATACGTATATAATATGTACTTATTTAGTTAGATATCTCACACAGATATAATTCGAGCGTCCTTAAAAATTAAATGTATTTAAAAATAGTGTGAAAATTAACAAATGTCCAAAAATATAATAACATAATATTCAGTAAACATTAGTTTAAAATGGTTCATTTCTTCAAGACGTCTATTAGGTAGTTCGGAAACCTAAAGTTTGTTAGTGATTATTATATACATTAATGATTGTATAGATCTATTATGGACTACAAATTAATAAGTAATTAAATCATTCCTTTTTTTATCCCTATTTAACTGATAGCAGAGGAAGGATCTGTTGAACATACTACTCCTTTTATTCAGTGAACTCATTCCTAGGAATATTTAAAACCCTAATTTCGTACTGGGTACATCTGTAAAAGTTTATACATATTTAATTGTATTACTATATTTTCTAACAGTTTTCAAACATGAATTCGCTATACATTATATATTAGTCGATATTCAATACCGGTTAAATATGATTTATTAATTTATGTTTATTGTAATTATGAGTTAAAAATGTTTAAATAGTTTTAACTCTAAATAAATAAAAAAGTATAAATTTAAAAAAAAAACTAATAATACGTTATATCATATATCGTAAATTACTTCTGTCAGCACTATAATTTACATTTTTATTTATGAATTATAGATGGATAGAATACCACCACAATATGACTACTATAACACAACTGATGAACCATGGCTGTCTGATAATATGCCAATAACAAATGAAAGTTCTTCAGGATCTGGTGAATTGTATTCCACATTTACCACGCCGGTTTCTCCAATTGAACGATCTACAAGGTATATTAATTATTAATTCACTATATATTTTTACTAAAAAAATTAAAAAATTTTAATTTATAGCTATGCACTCATAATATATATAAATGAATGAACCTGTATAATAATTAACTTTAACCACACTAATATTTTCCTTCAAACTTGTGTTTTCATTATTTGAGTTCGGTGTGGTGGTCTAAAGTCAAATTATTTAATCAGTTTGTGTACCTGTAGGTAACCTACTTATGGTTTTAAGTAAAAATTGTAAATTTGGGGTTCCAGGCATTTTTTGTATGTGTTCAAATGTGACCGTCTATACTCTATAGATATAGACTGATACGTACCTATTCCTATCAATACACATACAAACTTTAAGTTTAATTAATAAATACATTTAATTTTCAAATACACATTTAAATTTATAATTCTTAATAAAACCTAGGTAATTAACTTTATTTTTCTTATTCATAATATTATAATTTATATAATTATCAATTATGATTAAATACTGCTTGTGCTTATGAATGTTAAATTAGTATAGGTATGTATCGTTAATCTAATTAACGTCATAAACCTAACATATTAATGCATATATTTTACTTACTAAAAATATATTGTTTATTATAAATGTACAAGTACAGTACTACTACTACAGCATTAAATGCTCTCTAAAAACTTATGGGGATCCATTACAGGCCGTTTTTAAGGAACTAAATATAGGCAATTTTCTAAATGTCAGCATAGTAATAGTGATCACTAGTGTGTGTGAATTTGTATAAAAGAAACAGCGGAACGTTCACGCACCTGTCGATAGGTAACACGTTATTATACACGAATGTTAATTATTTTGTTTCTTTTGGTCAACATTTTCAATCTCTTGCCAATTATTGTTGTACTAATCTATTTTGCAGTTACCGAGGACTTAGGTATCTAAAACATATTTGAATTTGTCACAAAATTTAATTGAAAACGACTTTTTACATTTTGAAATTAATTTGTTCACTTCAATATTACTAAAATTTTTTATACTATTCAAAATTTTAACATCAGATTTAGATATGAGTAGATTCTAATTTTGAAAGGTTTGGGGTTTAGGAATTTAAAAAAAAATAGAAAAGTGGTTTCCAAGTTAACTTTTTGACAAAACCAATTTTTTTTGTTTTCAGAATCTTTATTTGATGAATAATATAGTCAGTGGAGGATTTACAAGGGGGTCCAGTAACCCCAGACACCAATATAAATATTTATGTTCTATAATACACACTAGTTTATAGGGTTATTTATATAAGTATACCTATTTCCAATATACTGAATTAATATGTTGAATAATTATTTTTAATTTTTCAACAATTATATATTTATAAAAATACAAATAATAGGTAGTTTTGAAATAAATATTATTTTTCAGGCCCCCTCCCCCCCAGAAAAAAGTTGAAAATCCGCCAATGAGGATGGTTATGATATAATCGGCAAAGGATAATATGTCTATTTTTTTATAAAGAACTGCATCAGACTGGATCGTATAACTCATAAGTGTTTACTTTATACTGTAAATAGACTACCTAGGAATTTCAATTACATATGTATAGTAGGTAATTAGAAATTTAGAACCCTAGCAAAGAGTATAATGTTAACTATATGTATAGTACAGTTTTGAAAATATGGTTCATGGGATCCATCAAGAGGCAGCCACACACATTTGACTAAATTAAGGCACCCTGCTGGGACAAATGTCCTCTTTCACCACCTCTGTTGTATACATATTTATTCTTTAACTGTATATTGTTTATTAATTTGAGTATATTATACAGAACAATTTTAATTTTGAAATTTTATTTCAAAAATATCTCGCTGTGTTTATCCTTGAACAAGTCGAATGTATCAGCCACTCTACTGTTTGTATACTCGTCAATCCAACACATTCTATAGATACTTTTAGACTTACATAACGTAGTAACTATACACTATGATAGAAATTAATAATTCAAGTTTCCAAAATATCCACATTAATTGTAAGCTACCTCAGATTTTAAAAATATATTATTTATAAAAAATACTTAAAACTAAAATAACTTAACTGATTAATACAATAATAATGTTTTAAATATTAATTTAATAAATAATGATTATTGAGTAAACACAGTGATGATACATTAGCTTACTGCTACCATATAAGTCATATATTCATATATTATATATATTAATTTCAAATTGCAGCTTGAATGCGACTAAATTAATGGACAAATTAAATGAACAATGCTCCAAAGAACGAAACAAGTGCGAGAACTATGTCTTGCCATCTTCGTCGAGTATGAGTTTCACCGGTATGTGTATTATTTAGTAGGTACTCCAAAACAGTAGTTATAAGCCTACAGCGATGACTGTTACAGTGTTGGCGCCAAGGGTGGCCCATGTCTGAATAAATGTCTCGGCCTCGTAGTGGTGAGTGGTCCATTATCCCAACATCTTCATGGCTATGAATATTTTATATTATTGTTTTAGTTACACGAACGAATAATATTATAAAGATAATGCCATATTATGTGTAAAGTGAATGAGTAACGGAAAACATGTGAAAACCAGCAACCAGGATATTGATATTAGTTAACATTCAATAATATATATTTTTTACTACATATTTTATATGTATCCATTTATTATATATATACGTATATAATAGAATAATTACTCATGGGCAGGGCACCATTTTTGTTGTTAATAAAATATACTTTGAATTAAATTAATTAAATTATCTATCAATTATTAACATATTAACTACGAATTAATTAGGTAGATGGTACATATTTATAAAATGCAATATCAAAATTATTTTAGGTAACTAAATAGCTTTGTTTTAAATAAAATATTCATATTTAAATAAAGCGTTTAGAAAACGATATACAAAGATCAATATAAGTAATAAAGAAGTTTTACATACTAGGTACATGTCTATATGGTTGTAAAGCTTCTACTTGCGTAAAAATTGTCAATATTGAGTGCGCGTTTCAGCGTTTGATATGTAGGTGGCTTATTATCATATAAGTTTCTGTACCTAAACATGACATACTATTCCTGGAATTATTAGATCGAATCATTTTGGGTACTACTTTTAATATAGGTGAAACAATTTTGAAAGGCTGAATCCAGTGGCCCACGTGTGCAAGGGCACAACTTGCGAATTTCATATATTTTTCTCCATTAAACCTACCACTGTGCGACATATGTTGTTTGTAAGATGTAAATTTGTAAGTATAATGTGGCATGGGTACGGGATGGCAAGCGAGAGTCCGGGATGAGTCTTAATGTAAAAATGATATCCTCAATGAGAAATGACATACTAGCCTATAGGATTTGGCGCCAATTCAAGTTAGTGTTTATATTGTTTATACAATATAATGTATCCACTTCGTGAAATCTATTTATTTATTTTTGTGAAAAGTAGTCCATTTCATGACATAGAAACGTCTGATTAGCACCTCGTTAAAAACTAATTTGATTTTTAAATAACGTTGTGAAAAAAACATTTCGCACACAAAATTAATATTATTTTATTTTATTTACGCCATATTTAATACCATAGCCATAGGTACATGATTTTTTTTACATATTATTATATATATTTAATTTTAATTTAATATTTATATTATAAAGATACCTACGTTAAGTTATAAACAGTAATATTTATGTCATATTAAATATATACATGCAGCATATTTCCGGAATAGAATATTGACTATTGAAATATGTGAATGTGGAATAGAATGTAATCTTTTGACCACAGTCCATATAGCAACTATAATATATTACACTTGAATACGACATTATATCGATATTAATAAAATCTAGGTACCTACTCATTTCAGATACCAAGGTATACAGATTTCATTGAATTATTTAATGATCTATAACTATTTGCGTGAAACTATGTCTAAGTTATAAAGTTGTATCCGGAGACCATTAGTTCCCAAATTGTTCATGTAAAAGTTATTGTAAAACTAAAGTATGTATGTAGGTAGGTTGTAGGTACCTACTTATTTTGACGACATGCCTATCGGCTATAGCATACACGAGTGCATGACTAACCTAGTATGAAATATTACAGCAGCTGTAGGTAGTCATAAGTTATGGGACTGGTTAAATAAACAAAAAAACAAAACAAATAACTGTATACGTATAATAATTAATAAACTTCTTTTTCCCCTTTTTAAATAAATTATTTTTATTACAATTTGTAGTATAAATAATAAATATGTATTAAATATGTCATAATACTCATAAACACATAACACTCGTCACTCGTGTACCTATATTTTAAATAAGTAAATAATAATAACAATAATAATTGTGTGTAGTAAATACTAAATACCTATTATAATGAATGACCACTTAGTAACAAAAAATACACGATAGCAATTAGCAAGTTGAAGTTATTAAGTGTTGTTATTAAAAAGTGATTATTTCGGGAAATATTTTAGTATTTCACAAAGTGTAAAAAACCAGTTTTCACTTCATAAAAATATTTACCTACAACTTTCCATGAAAAGATCGAATACACCTATACGACTATACCTATTCAATTAAACATTGTGCAGATGTCATAATAACACATTGTTAATTAAATATAGACGCGGATAGTTTACACCCGTTGTCGGCTCATTCAAGGTTCCAATTATCCGACATGCCAATAGAGCTGCAGCCGGAAAAGTCATTGAAAAAACGTTCGTGGTTCTTTTTGGCCTGGGTCACTAGTCTGGACTTCATCATCGAACCTCAGAGTACGGATATAGTGGACACTGACTGTCAAACCGTTTTAAAAAGTGTACTAATCCCGACGTGTTCTATTTCAGGCTTTTGTTACGTTGCTTGGTTAAGCCTAGTGACCATGTGCTACCTGTATAACTGTTGGGTAATACCGTTGCGTATAACATTTCCTTATCAGACTCCGGAGAACCTATGGAAGTGGATGTTGCTGGACTATTGTACGGACGCAATAAATTTGCTGGACACATTTGTGATCAAACCACGAATCATGTACCTTAAGGACGGGTTTTGGGTGCGTGATCTGAAACTCATCGAAGTCAACTATTTGGAAAAACTTCAATCGAAAGTAATAATATTATAGACTGCTGTATAGTATACATATACTCTAATATTCAATATTCATAATGGGTTTTGAACTATAGAATTATATAATATTTTATTTTATATTTTATTATTTATATAGGTACCGACGTACCGCTCAATTAGCAACATAAAATAACTATGTGAGGATTTAAGTGAATTATTAGATTCTTACACAAAATAAAATAAAATAAATCTATAATTTCATTCAAACATTGACTGTTAATGTTGTGCCCATATTTTACTAGTCTGTTGTAAAAATGTTTTAGAATCCGAGCAATGAATTTATGAATGTATTGATTTTACAATGATGTAGGTACCCTTATTATTGATGTGTGTGTGCTTTTTTTATGTTTAAAGACACTGTTTAACGTTTATTCATATATTTACAAAAAAATAAATTTTCAAATTCAAATCTTTCCTGATAGGAAAGTGAATCAAGTTCAAACTTTGGAAGCAAAAAAAAAATCAGGAAAACACGGGAATTTTTTTAAAAATACTTGTAGTTTTTGACAAAATTTATTTTCTTATTGTGTTGTAATTACAACAAAAATCCGAAAAATCGTACATACATGCTTGACATTTTCACCTAATGTTTATATTAGTGTAGGTATTCTACTCAAATGATTTTTAAATTTTCATGATTTTGACGAATTTCGTCAAAATTGAACTTTAAATGCATTAAAAAAAAATCGTGCCTATAAGTATCTTTAAATAGAACTACTTTCATAACAACTTGCAAGGCTACTCGCCTTGTATAAAGTTATTTTCAAGCTGTTTGACACATTGAAAAAATTTGACCAACATTTATTGAAAAAAAGGCGATACCTCGGTACCACAATATTCAGTGGCTGTCGGTTGAAAACCGTAACATTATACAATGTATTATATACCTACATGCATTATGATGTGTAGGTACACGGTCAGTAGTCAGTAGAATGCAAATTAGTTCCGATAAAGCACGATTGAGCATATTATACCTTTTTAGCAACACGATTCCGCATAGAATATTTTATGCGACGTTGCCACTTGCCACATCGCCATATTCTGACATTCACGTTGCCAAAATCTTGTAATTTATTATATTCACTAATTATTACACCAATTATTATGATAGCAAACTTAAACTGAGCTGAAGCCAGCGTTATCGACAATGTTATCGATTAATAAACGAGCAATAAATATTAGTTTTATCCTTAATATACTACAACGTTTTAAACATTTATAGCCATTATATAGACCATCATAGACCCCATAACTGTATTAGCACCAAATACCTAATTTAGCAATCTACCCACACTTAGTTCAGTAAAAATAAGCTTAGAGCTTTGTACATTACTATAAGTATGTTTTTGTTACTTGTAATTTAAAACATTTACAGGTAAAAAATTAAGTACCAACCACAATTCTCAGATCTATTGTTCTGCAAAAGTTAAATAGCTACATAAAATTAAATATTTATAATATACCTAATGTATTAAACGCATTTATAGAAAGACAATAATATATTATAAGAATGTCTTGTACAAGCTTTGCTTCAAGAAAATCGTTTCCGTCATTTCCATACGTCTAGATTTGGTTCAAATAGAACGATTTAGAAATAGGTACATCAACAACTTATGTCTTACAAAATGTTAATAACTTTATGAACTTTGATTAATTTTTAAAATGTTGATTTACAAATTAAAAAAATAATTTTAAAATTTAATTTATAACTCAACTGTGAAGGACTTTTAAGTTATATTTACAACGGATGTTTTTAAATTTTAACAGTATTCATGTAATAACATTGTACGCAAAAATTAATTTAAATATTGAATGTTATAAATATATTAATCGATGATTAAATCTTAAACCATATTCACAATAATGTACACGCATAGTATTCAAATTGAATTATACAATGTAATTATAACTGATAATACTTTCAATGATAAAAAGGTGGAAAATAGACCATCCGCTCTGCTGTACCTACCTACAGAAGGAGTCAAGTGTACATTGTGATTGTGTAACGTCCCTCGTTATCCTGTAATGGATGTGTTAAATTACTTAAATTTGAATTCAATGATTAATTTGATTATTGATTTCATACAAAAAAAACCATTCTGAGCGGAGACGATCAACCTATTACCATATAATGCTTTTAATTATTATAATAGCGATTAACTTTACTATAATATATAGTAATACGTAGTATAAACTATAAATTGTCAATATCAAAATTAATCATAAGGTTTAGAAAATGTCATTGCGTAGGTGCACTATAGAGTATAATAATATACGTAAACGTTTAAAATCCATACGAAAAGTATTGTTGATTCCACCCATTTGAAACAAAATAACCATAAAATCGTTATTCTTCGTTAAAATATAAATTTGGTCCAAGTTTGAAAAACAAAATAATGTCTGTAAAAAAAAAAAGTCAAATTTATATACATTTTCCGATTTTTTGCATGCAGTATGAGCTCCTTATTACAAAGAACCTTACATCAAAATTTCGATCCTCATTGAACACTTAATATTTAACAAAATAATTTTCAAATTTTTGTTATTTTTACTTATTTTGTCAACATTTGAAGTTCAAATGCTTATAAAAAGTATTATCTTATGTATCTTAAATATTTTTAAATAGCTTTAAAAAAACTTACGGAGAGCCTTGTATTAAAATTTTAAACTTTTTGACAAAGCGAAAAGATTTTTATCGAAAATTACAGAAAAAAAATAGAAAAATGTAAAATGTCTATATGTGGGTATATGAGACTTGACAAATATTGTGTTCATTAATCATTATCCTTTTCAAAAATTAACGTATCGTAATAACAAAGAAGTTATAACTCAAAACGACTTTTGTGCCCCAAGTTAAGCACATTTCCCAATATGGTAACCTACTTCTACGGTAGGTACTTAACTATATTAGAACTTTACTATAATAATGAAAAGAGAACATCTAACTCTCACACGCATTTCGCCCAAGACTGAAATTGCCTTATCGCACGAGCCACACATACTATTTTTGTCACTCCTCTGCGTTCATTGATCGCGCCATCATGGCAAAGGTAATTCAGGCATGCAACAACCAGACTATTCTACGAAAACAATAGGTATTTCATGAAAGAAACGACTTGGTTTTATTTATTTTAAGCGTCATGCATGGAGGTTATAATATGAATATAAGATGTAACCAAAAGTTTATGTTTTGTAGAAGGACCGTGGTATAGATTTCAGTATAAATAATAATTATTTCATTAAAATAAAATAAGAATAAAGAAATGTAATCAAGGCAAAGGTAATGCACTATGCTGGGATCTATGAAGCAACCAAATTATTAAACGAAAACAATTTCATGAAAAAAAAATGTTTACACGTCATGCAAAGAGGTTAAAATATGAATATAAGATGTAAGTGATGTAACCAAAAGTTTATGTTTTATTAGTTATCTGTTTGTGCAGAGGATACGCGTGATATCTGAGCTCAGTACTTTTGGGGGATTTCCACCGCCCGCTGGACCGAAAAAGGTCGCTTTCCAATGCTTCAACCGTCATCGAACACTAAGCTTTCGGTGCAGGCGTTTTTTCACATTATTGAAAACATATTGCGAAATATTATTTATGAAAATTTGTATGATCATTGTTCCAAAAACATTTTCATGGAAACTTTATAAAAAAAATGTAGTCAATAGTATAAAAATCAATATAATATAATATATTAATACGGTACAATATTTTGTTATCATGAGAAAAAAATATTTATATAATATTATTAGTCAAATATTCATTATACAAGCACTTCAAAATATTAACAAAATATTCCAAATGCTGAGTGGATAATGGGTATACACTATATACAGCTCAAAAAGCGTCAAAATTGTTTGAACATTTTAAAATCTAGATAAAGTGTTAATATAAGCATTTGGTGATAGTTGTAAGCACCTACGGTCATTTTATTTTTTAGTTACAACAAAAAGACAAATCAATATTGTATAAAACTGGTTTTAACGAAAAAAATTTGCAAGCCGATTATTTTGAAATATACTCGGAATTTTTTTCACCTCTCATAATTCCCAACTAGATCCAAAAAGCACATAATTGTAAATTCAATATATTCATAACTCTACTCAGAATCTAAAATTAGTTATTAATGTATTATTATTTTTTGTAATACTTATCTAATATGAGTAATGATTTTATTTTTAGTTGGACATAATTTCTCTTCTGCCGGCTGACTTGATATGCCTAACACCAGGGTTAACTTCAGAAATGTTACCTTTGATGAGACTAAATCGAATAATTAAGGTAAAACAATAAAGTATTATAGTACAATTTATAATTAGTTTTCGCTTTAGACATTGATATTTTGAAAGTTAGTAAAATAAAAAAAGTCCCAATGTTTGTCGTTATTTTTCGTGTATACAGTTTTAGGTAGGTTTACACTATACAGTTAATTCAAAACTGCATCAATACAAATATTTAATTTGTTTTTGTAGATAATCAGAATAAAGAAAAAATTTCGTGATTTTATATATTTTTTGACTTATGTAGTTATGTCGTCTATATAATTTGCATTAAAAATGATTAAATAGGGGCACATTTAACTATAATAATATAAAAATGTATAATATACATATATATACTTTTGTTATAAAGATTCAGACGTTTTGGGAATTCTTCGACCATTTTGATAGCGTTTTGTCGTCGCCATATGTGGTCCGAGTAACAAGGACATTGACGTACATGGTCTACTTAGTGCATCTAAATGCGTGTGCGTATTACTATGTTTCGGTTAAAGAAGGGCTTGCTACTAACAACTGGGTGTTCAACGGTCAGGGAAACGCGTGAGTACAACTTTAACAAAACATAATTTTGCATTAAAGATCGGTAATCAAATTTATACTTGCTACAGTCATTGAGCTAATGATGAAAACAAGACCAAGACTTTCAAAATCTTGGTCTTGGTCTTGCGCATGACTCTTCCAAGACTTACCATTTTCACAAAATATAAATAAAAAAAAACTAAATAGGTACCTATTATAGCTGTTCGTAGGTTTTTTGCTATGATGTCTAAGATGAAACTTAAGTCCAATATATTACATAGTGTCATAGTATATTAATAATTCAAACATTATCAAAATACATAAGTCAAACAATTTCATTTTTATTATACCTACTCGTTTAAAACTTTGCATCTTGCAGTGATGGTCTTCTTTTGGTCTTGGTCTTGCAGCTTCGGTATTGGTTTGTTCTTGCAAGCCTAATCTTGGTCTTGGACTTACAGCAAGAACCTTGCTAGACCGCAAGACCAAGACCAATTTTGATCATCATTATAATATGGAGCTATCGCCAATCGGTCAGTGGTAAAATGGTCGATTTAAGAGTATTACACTTAAAGCATTAATGTTTTATTTTTTAAAATACTTATAATCTGAAAAACATATTAGGTGTATAAATACTAATTATAGTCTTGATATAAAATATAAAAAACCAAATATTTGTATCTAAAATTACCACTCTTCCTCTTGGATAAGTATTAAAATGCAGTCACAGTGACATGTGCCATGTATAAAAATTATCTTTTGTGAGCTACTGAGCTGGAGGTCTTGGGCATATTTTTCACTGAATACTGATTGTCATTGAGCTTAATGAATAAAAATGACAGTTTCATAATTCTATACGATATTAAGACTACAGTTTATCAAAATTTTTTTTAAATTTTTAATAATGTCCATATAACAACTTGGGGAAAAAATCAGTAAACACTTAAATTATCAAATATCTTTATAGTTTATATCTAATATAATAGGTAGGTATAGACAATAGACTACCTATATACTATTAATATTTACTTAATTCCATTGCAACAGTTTAACCAAAACCGACAACTATAGACGTTCTTGCCGTTCAATTTAAATTACACTGCAGGTACATACGCTGTTTTTTTTTCGCCACCAAAACAGCAACTTCCATCGGGAAAAACCCACATCCGGAAAACGAAGCTGAATACTTGTTCATGACTGCTAGCTGGCTGATGGGTGTTTTCGTGTTTGCGATTTTAATCGGACAGGTATGTATTACCTATGCATATATTGTTATAGCAGTACAGCTCCATAATAAATTACCTACGTCAAAAATTGTATCTGTATCAGAGGCATACTCACGGGCAGGGGGTAGAGGGTGTCAAACCCCCTTTGGCTTTTTTTTGTCATATAATATAAATGGTAATTTAATATAAATGGTATTTAAAGCAAAGAAAGTATATTGCCGCTGTATAATAAGTGGTCTGAGAATCGTCAACAGTTAATATCATCATCCTTGCTTTTAAAAAACCTGAACATTTAACTGATCTGCAAAGTTTATAATATTATACCTATTACAATAAATTATTAGGGCAGCCTGAACAATTTCCGGCAAAGAAAATTCAAAAAATACCGCTCGCTAGACTCTCAATAGTTCATTCACAAATAATTCACTAGAATAATAATTTAAAGATTTAATTTTGTTTTAAACATGTTATTTTAACGTCAACCTTCAACATTTCTATTTAGACCCGAATTCTCGTAAATCTTTATATACATAATATACATACTATTTTGACCTACTGGATTATAATATTACTACTATTCGAATTTCATATTTAATCCGTTTTATCCAGATTCTTGGTTCCAAACCATTAATTTGTCTAAAATTGACTAGTGGTAAAAAGTAGAAACTAAAAATTATCTACGATGAATCTCGTATGTTTTTTTTTTCACATTTTAATTCTAATGCTAGTTATGAGCATTTTAAAATTCTAAATTTTTCAAACATTTCAGTAATAAGTCTGAATAAAGTGGGAAGACAATTTGTATTCTTTATGTTCTTATTCCAGTAGGGAACTTACGTGCCGGTGAATTTTTTCGTGTATACCTATATCATTGGTGTATAGGAACTTGACGTAGGTATTCGTAGTAACTGGTGATTTTTACCTGCTGGGAACTTAGGTTAGATTAACCCGTTACAATTTGAGATTCGACCACATACTTGCGACGTACAAGATTTGTTTAATTTATTGTTAAATAGTAATATATAGTAGACATAACTAGTTGATAATATTATCAAATACCAGTCCCAAAATCTAAATATGAGGAACAGGCCAGTGGACATCTGCACACACCGGCTCATCAACCAAATCGTTTCTGTAGTATATTTTAAGTACAAGATGTTAACACCTAATACATATTATATATTATATATGGGTAGGTATTGTAATTTGTCGCTGTTTTTATGATTTAAATTAATTATTACTTTTATTATTGTTTTCTGATATTTTTATGTTTTCTTATAGATACGTGACATTATAGCGACGGCCACTAGATCTCAAACCGAGTACAGGAAACTTCAAGATGAGACGTTAGAATATTTGAGGAAATTAAACATACCTCCACGAATACGACAACGGGTGGAACAATGGTTTTCGTTCACTTGGGAACAGCAAAGAACTTTAGGTGGATAATAATACTCGTATTATATTTTATACTTGATAAGCATGATAATGTATAATATAGATACGTATTTACATAGGCGAAACTACGGATCGGGCCTAATCGGATCTAATACTGACTGGATAACATACTGACTTAATTAAATTTTAAATTTTAATAAAAAACTTATTTTGTAATTATAATTTTTTTTCATATTTATCATTTGGCCTGTCCTAATATATTTCTAGTTTCGCCTATGCCTATAAATATTAATACGCATGTTCTCTAAGGACGGTCTTTGAAAAAAATTCAGCCTGGGAAATTTTATTTGTTCAATTTGATGTTTTTGCATTATCTTCAAAGGACACACTTATTTTAAAAATCACAAACAAATAATCTTCACAGTTCACTTTTTGAATTATTTTAAAAGACATTAAAAACAGGGCTTGTAAACGTTATAATAACGTTATATTTGACAAAAAACGATTGAAATTCGAAAACTTTATTATAACGGTAAGTGATAATAAAAAAATAATTAAATACCACAAAACAAAGCATAACGTTTAACAAAATATATTATATATCAGGTTGACCGCCACCGGTTTTTTTTCAAGTTACTTAAAATCAATTTTGAGAATCTATTTGGGTTCTCAAAAATATTACTAGGATTGACAATTGAGATCCCATTCGGGGGTCATATCAATTTTTGTTTAAATCGTTAAAACTGTTTCCAAGTAAACCTATGAAAAAAACCCTGTGGCGTACGTGAGTAAACTAGTGAGAGCCCAAAAAGAGGCTCATGGCGGTGAACCTGATATCATTAAACAAAACATAACGCAAAACGTAATTTATAGAATATCATTAAACTAAAAATAACGCAAAACGTAATTTATAGCATATCATTGCACAAAAAATAAAGAAAAACGAAATATTTTACTAAATATTATATAAAGGTATCTATTTAAAAGGTCTATTGGTTTCGTAGAAACATTTATTTCATACAAACAATCTAAGAATCTATTGATTACATTATACTCCGTAACAGGACCATTACCTACCCACTTTAGTTATTATTTTTTAATTTAATAGGTATTAACACTATTTTTAATAACGATAAATGCAAAACTTGTATAACGTTTTAGTTCTAAATAACGATAAACGCAAAACTTGGATAACGTTTTAATTGTAAATAACATAAAATGGATTTTTTTTTCAAATGAAGCCCTGATTAAAAATGTTAAGTGGTTTATTGATTATTTTATACTAGATTCTAAAATAATCTTACAACACATTTCGGTCGCGGACGCGGAGGTTTGATTCTAAAATTCCACTAAATGTTGTCTTAAGTTAAAAATAGAAGTTATATTTGTTAATAATTTAAATACAAAATATCTAAAATTATTACCTAGATATGGTATTTTATACAAATATATGTAAGAAGTACATATACGTAAATAAAGTGGTGATGTCAATCACCCCTGCTCACGTCCATAATAATTATATCACAATATTTATTGGAATTAATATATTTATATTATTTGTTCATGAATATATTATGTATACTAACCCACTAACTAACTTTTTCGGTTTTAAAAAAAACATTTCCATAAAATATATAAGTTATTCACAGTGGCGTAGCCAAGAATTTAGTATGGGGAGTAAGTATCACAAAAAAATACAAAAAAAGCGGGCAAGTGGATGTGGCTCTGCTGTACAGTAGGTTACAAGTGGGTCACTGTATAATGGATTGTATTAAACTTGAATTCAATGATATCATATAATCATTGTATTTGTATACGAAAAACGATTCTGAGCGGAGACGGTTTGTCAGTCTAGATATTTTATATTGTTATTATATTTTATTATAGACCTGTATGTTGAATTAATATTACAAATTACAACAAAATAAATAAAATCGTTATTTTTATGGTGATAAACAAAGCCTTAGAAATTAAAAGCCTCATTTTTTTGTAGGTAATTTATCGGTGGTTTTTCTCGTGGCATTAAATAACTATTGAGAAAATCAAAAAATAACCTGTTTAAAGTACCATCTTGATCCAATTTTCTAAAAAATAAGAGACTATATGTTGAAATCGAAGCAATCCTTCTGGTAGAAATTTTGTACACAAAATAAAAAAAAATAATAAAATAAAGACCATTGTAAAACCAATAGATCCATCGCTCCACTCAGAATCTAAAATACAATTACAATATTATGCCTTTTATTTACACTTTTTATTTTTTTATTAATCTTAATGAAATTCTAAGGTCAACACAGTCAATGGGGGGGGCTGTAGCCCCTTTACCCTCCCTGGCTACGCCACTGGTTATTTATAAATAAAACTAGCTAAAAAAATTAAAGCTTTTAAACAACTTAATTTTTGGAGACGTTTCAGATGCTTCCACACTCTCCAGACAACATAAAATTTGTTCTTGAATTTTATTTTATTTTTTCAAACAGATGAAAATCGTATTTTGGACTCTCTGCCACATAAAATGAAAACCGACGTAGCCATCAACGTGCACATGAAGACGTTGAACAAGGTGCAGTTGTTCAAAGACTGTGACAAAGCATTATTGCGAGAGTTGGTGTTAAAATTACGACCGATATTGTATTTGCCAGGGGATTATATATGCCGCAAGGTGAGTATATTATTAGGAACTACTGCGCTCGCGTTAAGACTATTAATTAATATAATTCGTGATTATAATATCAGCATTATTATAATAATATTATAATATTATCATTACAAAATGCTACCTGGGAAGTGTTGTAGACTTGTAGTTTGAATATAGTTTGGTGCTGCAACCATATATAGTATAGGTCCATAAATATTAGATAATAATTAATAGTATATACCTACTCAATTTTCTTTTTCTTTTTTAAAGTTGGATAGGGCACACTTGCAGCCTTCCTACGTGAAAAAGTAATTGCGTTACAGTAATTTGTAATTTGCGTTACGTTACTACCAAACACTGTAATTATTCAATATTGTAGAGCCAAATAAACCTTTTTGAATATCTCAAACTAATGATTTTTTTCCTGACACTAGAGTCATCATTAGAATTTTCAACGAATTAGTTACAATATAATTGTATATTAATAATTCAAATAACACGTAAAAATAGAATTTTGATAAATTGAGCTAGTGTACATTCAGCACAGAAAGGAGTTCAGAACTAGCTATACTAAAACAAAAAAATTATATGAATTATAATTTATAACAATAAATTATGGGGATGTTACAGTGGTATTTGTTGTCTCCGTCTTACAAGGGTGTAACATATAGCAAATTTTAGAACAACACGTTTATCTCCATTAGTTTAAAAATCAGAGTGAATTGACCCCTTATATAATTGAAATGTAAGAATGTAAGATTATTATCTAGACATTAACACAGGCTTTTTATTATATTTTAATTTTAAAACGAGTTATGAGTATTGTAAGATTTACAAACAGTTTACAATTTTAAAAAACACATAACTACCTTTAAAATTAAAATATTATAAAAATCCTATGTCATTGTCATAGTCATAGCTTTAAATTTTATAAGGGCTCAATTCGCTCTAATTTTTAAGCTAACGGAGATAAATGTGTTCTGCTAAACTAAATTATAAAATATAATAATTTGATTGATATACTAGTTATAATTTAAATTAAATAACTATAAAAGTGAGCAATACTAAAGTAAAAAAAAAAGTCACTCTGCTGTTCAGCAGGTTACAATAGTGGGTCACTGTACAATAGATGGTATTAATTTTGAATTCAATGATATAATATCATTGTATAAGAAAAACGATTCTGAGCGGATACGGTATGTCAGTCTAAGTATAAGACACATTGTATACTAATCTATGGTATTAAAAAAAAATTATACCTATAATATATTCCAGATTAATATCACAATAACCATTAGGTAAGGGTACTTATAACTCGTTATACATCAACAACAAACCGTGATACCATAATAATTAATAGGTATATAATAGTATACTTTAGAAGTTTCAATTACCCACGAATAATATTATACAGTCACTAAAAATAACTAAAATAGTTATTCTAGGTTTTTAATTTATAATTTCGTCCAAATTTGAACTTAAAATGACTATAAAAATAAACTGTGCTTATTTATTTTTTAGATTTTTCAGTAACAGAATAAACTACTCATGTGGAATCTTGTTTTAAATTTTCAATCCTTAGATATAAAAGTTGAACATTTTATACATTTTTAACTACAAAATAATTATTCAATTTTAAATTTGATAAATTTTGTCAAAATTCGATCTTTAAATGCTTATAAAAAAAAGTTGTGCCTATGTATTTTTAATATTTTTCAACTGATATTGTAACAATATATCGGGAGCCTTGTATTAAATTTTTACACATTTTGGCCCAACAGATAAAACTTTATTGATATTTATAGAAAAAAAACTAAAAAAATTGAAAATAAAAGAGTCAAAATATTTTCAAAATTGTATGGTGTATAGGAAATGCTAATATAAACATTCAGTGAAATTTTCATGTATCTAATTTATTCGTTTATGAATAACAACAAAATAAGGAAATCGCTACATGAGAAATCGAGTGAACATCCAATGTTGTAAAAATTAGAATTTCAAACGTTCATAAAAATTTAATTTGACTGTCCGGTAGAGATTTTTTTATTGATAAAGGTAGACAAACTTATGAGTAATCTTGTATTACATTTTCAAATCTTAGATTTAAAAAAAAAAAATTTTACGAATTCTTAACTCAAAATAATTTGCTAATTTTCGTGATTTTTCCATATTTTGTCAATTTTTAAACTTTAAATGCTTATCAAAAAAAACTGTGACTAACGATTTTTAATATTTTTCATCTGACTTTGAAACAATATACTAGGAGCCTTCTATTAAATTTTCAAGTTTTTTTAACCAACAAATAAAATTTTATCGATATTTCTAGAAAATAAACTAAAAAAAAATGAAAAATGAAAATGTCCCTAAACAGTTCAAAATAAATCAAAATATTTTGAAAATGTTATCGTGTATAGAAAATGCAAATATAAACAACCAGTGAAAATTTCATTTATCTACGGTCATTTGTTTTAAAGTTACACCAAAAACCAAATTCAATTTTCTGAAAAATCTCCGTTTTTCCTTAATTTTTCTTTTGTTTTTCTTGGCGCTTTTGAAAAGTACTTGGAATTTTAAATTTTGACCTCCCCAACGCACCAACGATATTCACTTTCCAATCGAACAAGATACTGAAGTCGAAAATCGAAGCATTATTTCGACTACTTATCGTGTACACACTACACAGACACAAAAAAAATAAATAAATAAATAAACACACATCATTGTAAAATCAATATAGTGGCGGCTATCACGTATCTGAAAAGGTGCTCAAGTACCCCTTTCATAATTGGGGTGGGTGGGTTGTAACTATTGGGTCTTTAAAATAAACTTTAAATGTTAGTAGGTTAAAAAGTTTTTTTGTGAAATGAGTAATTTTTTAGGTTACCCGAAATACTGATAGGGGGTAGGTACTAGTTCATTTTAAGTGAGCACCTGTTATATTTGTCGAGATCTGCCACTGAATCAATACATTCATCGTTTCACTCAGAATCTAAAAATTAAGGATAAACGGGAACTTTTACTCAAAATCGGTTTTACACAAAATCAATTTTGGTTTTTATTGTAAGTTTAAACAATTGAAAGTATTCATAATGTATACCGATACATGACATTTTCACTGGTTGTTTATATTTCTATTTTCTATACACGATAAAATTTTCAAAATATTTTCATTTATTTTGAACTGTTAAGGGACATTTTCAGTTTCCAATGTAATTAGTTTTTTTTTCTATAAAACATTATTTGTTGAGTAAAAATACTTGAAATTTTAATACAAGGCTTGTACTATATTGTTACAATGACATTTGAACTATATTTAAAATCCTTAGTCACAGTTTTTTATTATAAGCATTTAAAGTTCAAATATTGACAAAACAAGGAAAAATCACGAAAATGAGCATATTATTTTGAATTAAGAATTCTTAAAAATTTTTCTTTTTAAATCTAAGATTTTAAAATGAAATACAAGATTCCTTATAAGTTTACCTACCTTCATAAAAAAAAATCTCTACCAGAAAGTCAAATTAAATTTTTATGAGCGTTTGAAATTCAAATTTTTACAACATTGGATATTCACTCGATTTCTCATGTAAATAACTGTAGATACATGAAAATTTCACTGAATGTTTAAATTAGCATTTCCTATACACCATATAATTTTGACTCTTTTTTAGCTATTTACGGACATTTACCGCTTTCAATTTTTTTTCTATAAGTATCAATAATAAAGATTATTATGTACCTATTAGTCGTGATTGATCAAATTTATTTTTTCTTTCATTTAAAGTGTAAGCAGTGCTTACAGTGCTTACATGCAAGCTGCACGCCCCTGCCGGTAACGAAGTGCACAATGCCGCGGAATAAAATATAATAAATGTACATCGCAGCCGCCGACGACGACCATGCTACAGTAGACGTTGAAGTAGTGGCGGTTATACCGGCGGCAGGCGGCGTCGTCAACGAATGCCGCTATGTAACATACGGCAAACTTAATACTTCTAATAACTATTTAAATAATTAATTTTTCGGAACTTTCTCTTTTGATGGATCATCTGCACACCGAGTGCTTGCGTTGGAAAAAGAAATCATCAAATTCGGTCCAGTAGAACTTCAGATATAACTGTCATAAGAAATCGCCTCACGTTTTAATATAATATATAATATAAAGATTGTTGGTCTGTGGGTTCATCTGGTTCATCGGGTTGGTAAAAACGCTACTAAAACGTACGAACTAAATCGTACGATGTAAAACGTAATAATAAGGTGCCGGAGTAGCAGGGACTCATGGTCTAATCGTCACTTTTCTTCAATTTCGGCGGCTGTTGCAACGACGCGCGGCAGCAGTAGCTACTAGCTACCGCTCAACGGCAATCACGGTCATAGCATACGTTCCTGATACATTATGGAAAATATCGTCGCCTGCATAATTATTCTTACAACTAATAAACGTTTTTAGCAAATATATCATCCAAATAACTCTTATTAAATCACCTTAGATGCGATAAAAAAATGAATAGTTTAATTTGTATACCAATATAAAAATTCACCGAAATCACTGAGGAAATAAATTTGCCAAAATGCAAATAGAATTCAATAGGTAGATTAACCAATGATTTATGATTATATAATCAATGTTACCAAGTTCTAGTTACTACCAATGTATAACATTTTGATTTGACTAGGTGATTAAAAAACTAGTATAGCTAGTATAGCTTATATAGTAATGCTTACACTTTTGTAATCGCTTATCACCTCTAGTTATTAGTAATTTATAACAATATTATAAAATTATTTTATTATGCTGTAATAGATTAGGTAATTTATTTAGATTGGAATTTAACTGTTTAACTTAAACTGTTTATGAATTACGATGAAAAACTATTTAGAGCGAAGAATTAAGACGATATTATGTTGACAAAATAATTTGCGATTTTTATAAATTCCGTCCTGATTATAAAAAAAGTACTGACATTTTTAAAAATACCAACTATATCCAATTGGTTACTTGAAACCACCTTCGAAGTTTAAAATCGAATCTTTCTACTAGTTAAGACACAAAAAAATAAAATATATTAGAATACATAATATGAACATTATCCTATTGGAACAATATAGCAATATGGTTTATTGTATAGGTAATATTATTAATAGTATGTAATGTGTTACTATCTTAAAGTTAGTTTCTTTTTTGATCATTTTTTAAATAAATATTTTCCCAATTACATTACATTGCCCCAACCAACAATGAAAATATTGTATTAAAGGTATTTCATAAAAATTAAACGCAGGTGCGTGAGTGATAATTTAAAAATCCGTAACGATTAATATTAAAGAAATCAGGTAAGTGTGAAGTGACTCTGCTGTACAGTAGGTTGCAAATGGATGACTGTAATATATGGTGTTAAATTAAATTCAATGATATGATATTATTTTATACGAAAAATGATTTCGAGAGGAGACGGTTTGTCAGCCTAAAATATTTTATATTATGTTTATATTGTAGTTATTAATATAGTATAGCCGGTTCAGTTGAATTATTTGTTTATTATCATATTAATTGTATATAAAAATATACTTTAGAAGTTGCAAGTACCCACAAATAATATTTTATAAATATAACACAAAACTAGCTTTTAATAGCTCTTGATATATTGCTACAATATCAGTTGAAAAGTTTTTAAAATACATGTGCACAGTTTTTATTTATAAGCATTTAAAGTTCAAATTTCGACAAAGTTTATCAAATTAAAAATTGAATAATTATTTTGTAGTTAAAAATGTATAAAATGTTCAACTTTTATATCTAAGGATTGAAAATTTAAAACAAGATTCCACATGAGTAGTTTATTCTATTACCAACAAATCTAAAAATACATAAGCACAGTTTATTTTTATTGTCATTTTAAGTTCAAATTTTACGTAATCAAAATATGTTAAAATCCTAAAATAACTATTTTAGTTATTTCGTTGTGGGGATTGAAGGAATTTGATCTTTTAGGTGTTTACAACTTACAAGTAAAAAGGTAGGTCGTAAAAAACTGGAGTCCGGGGGGTCAATTTGATGGTTTACAAAAATAACCAAAATTAACTGAACAGGAAGTTGTACTTATAGTTACTTTTGTCTTGTAGATCACATTAAAAAGACAGTTTCATAAGTTCTCGGGTATATTTCTACTTTACCGGGCATAATTAATAATATGAACACGTTAAAAAAATTTGAGCTAAATCGGACCAGCTCATTGCATTTTCATTTTTCCTATTACACACGTTAAGCGTTTAGAAAACAGCACACCACATATTGCGTCATCTTGTCTCCCAAATGTTCAACCTATCAAATTTGGGTTCAGTTGGACCAATTATGTGTTGAAAGCTTTAATATTAGAGTAAATTGACCTATTATCCAACTTATAGATGAGATTATTATCTAAACAATAGAGCAACTCAAAGGGTTTTATTGATAATTTAATTTTAAAGTGAATTACCTATATAACCTATATGTGTGTGTATGATCAATGCATTTATATATAAGTCTATATGAAGATTCCTGCACATATGTTATTCCAATATGCACGGAAGGATCGAGAAGTTTAATAACATATTATGAATATTCGATAGGGCGAGGTCGGCAAAGAGATGTACATTGTGAAAACCGGGCAAGTGCAAGTAGTCGGAGGCGAAAACGACGATGAAGTATTAGCCACGCTCACGGAAGGATCGGTGTTCGGTGAAATCAGCTTGTTGAGTCTGTGTGGTACTAACCGGAGAACGGCAGATGTCAGGTAATATCCAATTAAGGTTAGGTATATATATTAGGCCATTATATTCTGTGGGTAATTATAGACTCTTCAAAATTCAAATTATATTTGTTCAGTAATTTGATGGTGGTTTAACGAGCCCGGGTTATGGGGGGTGGCAAGCGGGGCACGGTTCCGGGGCCCGTTAATTTTGGGGGCCCATCTTTATCCCCAAAATATATTTTTGTAACGCGTAACATAGTTTTCAAAAAAAATAAATATATTATTTTAAGTAGTTGTAGTAGGTAAATTATTATTAATAATTATAAAATAAAATTGTTCTCCATTTTATATCACGAAAAATTACTATAGATAATGTGAACAGTTTGCCAATAATTTTGTTTATGTATTTTTTTTTTTTTTTTTTTGAGAATTTTAGATTACCGATTTAACTATTAAAGTATACAAAAAGGTAGTTATAAGAAAAAAATATTTAGCTCTTGTAAATTAGGTATTTCAGTTAAAATTACTAATGAATATTAAACTAAACTTTATAGAGGACCATAGTTAATAACCTAGAGAACCAAAATTGATCATTTGACTGTCAAAATGGTGAGAAAAAATGTTTTACCAGTATCCATCAAAAAATATAGTGGTTACCATTTTAAAAAATTAAGTCGATTTTATAATTGGTAGAACTGCGAACTTAAACATTTTGAAAATGTAAAAAATTGCCTGTGAAAAAAAAACACGTCTTTTTTCGTTTTAACGAAATTCCATATCATCGGTTCATAATTGTTAAAAAAAAACACGAGTACAATGACATTTGATACAACCTGTATATTTTTTGTATATTAAAAAATTATACAATAATATAAAGTAGTTAATATGTAATGGTACAATTATTTTGAAAGGGGGCCCACTAAGGGCCGATTTCACCAACACAGTTAATTACGGTTAACGCTTAATCGGCTGATAACAGATATTTAACCGGCCAAATTCGGCCGATTAAAACTCCGGTTAACGTTAATCGTGATTAACTGTGTTGGTTTAATCGGCCCTAAGTGTATGGACGTATGGTGTCCCGGGGCCCAATGAATCCGGACTTGTGGTTGAACGTGCTGTTATAAATGGCGACATATAAGCCACTAAATTTTAAGTTATATGTTTATGATAGTTAAGGTAACACTAGTGTGTAACTTAATTAACATTTTAGTTCAACAATACATATTGTTAAAATAGTAAAAAAATGATATTGATTTATTAATTTATATGTAGTTCAAACATCATTTATTTGCAGTCAAATTTAAGATAATGAGTCTTACATATTGCATTTATTTAAAGTTGTATTTACGACTTGGTATTAAAATCATATACAAATATTCGTGTTTAAAATTATGGTTAAAACAACACCAATACATTGTTGGATAAAGATACAATGACATCACTCCAATTGTATTTTTTTATTTTTATGCTTGCTCAGTGGAAAGTGGAAACCCATGATAATATATTTTGTTGTATAGATTTATACACTATACAAGGCGCAAGATATTAATGCAAAGTGCATTTTTTTGAGAAGATTTGAAAAATACCTGCTTACTACTTTTTTTGTTGAATTATGTATATGTCGCATCCATATTCGCGTTATTGTACGTTTCACGAAATAGACGTTTGCATCTATTTCAAAAAATTAACCACGGTTACTCTACCTCAAGTAATTACACAATAAGGATTTAATTTCGTGAAATGGATACCTACCTAAACTGTCATCAACGGAACTTGTTCCGTCATTTGGATGTCCACATAACAAAAATTAAAAAACTTTAATTTTAGATTCTGAGCGGAGCGATAAATATATTGATTTTCCAACGATGTTTGTTTCTTTAAGATTAGTGTTAAATTTGAATTCAATGATATAATATCATTGTATACGAAAAACGATTCTGAGAGAAGACTGGCCTATGATACATTATTACTAAGTATATTTAATGATATAATTGAGAATAAAGTTATTTATTTACCTTTTTACGTGAAACCTTAATTTAAAATTTCAATCCTTACAGTTATAAAAGTTGAACATTTTATACATTTTTAACTACTTCATTTTAGATTCTGAGTAGAGCAGGGCTTGCATTTGAAAAAAAAAAATTCCGTTTCATGTTATTTTCAATTAAAACGTTACACAATTTTTGAGTTTATTGTTATTTAAAATCAAAACGTTACCAAGTTTTGCGTTTTTATTCTTATTTAGAACTAAAACGTTATACAAGTTTTGCGTTTATCGTTTTTAAAATAGTGTTAATACCTATTCATTTAAAAAATAATAACTAATACGGATAGCTAATGGCCCGGATACGGAATATAATATAATCAATTCTTAGATTGTTTGCATAAAATAAATGTTTCTAAGAAAACAATAGACCTTTTAAATAAATACATTTTAAAATATTTCGTTTTGCGTTCTTTTTACTATAAATTACTTTCTGCTTTGATTTTCGTTTAATGATTTTCTATAAATTACGTTTTGCGTTATATTTTGTTTAATGGTATATAATATATTTTGTTAATCGTTATGTTTTGTTTTGCGGTATTTAATTATTTTTGATTTTCGCTTTTCGTTTTAATTACTTTTACAAATTTCAATCGTTTTTTGTCAAATATAACGTTATTATAGCGTTTGCAAGCCCTGGATCGGAGCCATGAATGTATTATTTTTACAATGTGTATTTTTTTATTTTAATTTTTTATTTGCAAACGTTCTCCATTTCGTGAAAGCACAATAACAAGATATGGATGCGACACACTCATATTTTAAGTTTTTAGTGAGAATTATAGGTTCTTAATTCAGAATATTTTTTTATGATTAAATCAATACTCACAATTTAAAAAGTCTTAAAGTGAGAGTAGAGTTGAACAAAATCTCAGATTTATATTTTTGTTTAAGAATGTTTTCAATGAATAATAATTATAACACTCATAATGTTCAACAATAAAAACCATCGCCGACAAATTATTACTTATTCCTAATTTTGTCATCATCGTTTTTAATCTTTGAATTTATTTAACTGACTTAAATATTAAAATATGTCATTAGCGTAATAAATTGATCTTTTGTAATAAAAAAAAAGGTAATTTTGGCTATTTAATGATAGTAGGTATTTTGGGCATTTAATTTTAGGCTCTACTAATAACTAATTTTGTTATAAAACGCAGGTCTCATGGGTTTTCCAATATTTTTGTTCTAAGCAAAGAAGATCTTAACGAAGCCATCAAGTTTTACCCGAACGCCCAAGAAATACTTAAACGCAAAGCGAGGTGAGTGTCTCGTTTTGATTATTATCCTTGCAGAGGTATATAATAAATAAATAATAATTAGCTAGTTGCTAGTACATAAGGTACGTTAGTTAATATTATTTATATTATATTATCCAATGGAATTATTTAATAATGGAATTTCAAAATAAAAAGTTTAAAAGTTGCTCAAACATTTTTATTGCTAAGTGCCAACGAATTTAATTTATTTAAATTAACTTATTCCGTTTAATTTAAATATTTCTGATTTGTTCGTCTTAGGGAGCTGATTCAACAAAATGCAGCAAGAGAACACAGGCAAATACCCAATGAACTACTAGACGACCAATACGGAAACAGCACGGAAAACTTAATGCGAGTTTTATAAATCTACTCATGTCTATAAAATACTTGATCATCGCGAACATCGTTAACTATTCTAAATTCGATGAACATACAAAATTTAAATATAACATTATTTCCATGATTATAATATATTTATACTACATCGCATTATAAGGATACAGGCAAATCTCGATATTTAGGTATATCAATTATAATATCTATAATGTCTTAATATGTATTATGTATTATGTTTATGTACATATACATATTGTATCAGTGGCCTCCATAGAACCGTTTATAGGGAGGGGACTAAATAAAGTATTAACTCAGTTTTTACATGTTATAGTTTTAAATTACTTATTGTAAAATAATATATATTTATTTTTATAAATGTGTTATAAGAGGACGTTTTAAGTGCCGGCGTGTATAGTCTCCAACTTGCTAAATAAAGCATACATTTTACGTTCTGAAATCTGAATAGTCCATTTTACTCCGCTACTTAATGATCTATTATACAATTTAAATAAGTAAGAATATTGTTCTGAGCTCTCTGTTGGCTTATTATAATTTTGAAGCAAGTTATACGAATATATTAAAATATAAAAAATGACCTTATTGAGGTTCTAAATATTAGATGGAGACAATACATGCGGGTATACACAACCTTTTAAGAGGTTAGTATGGATAGATCATTTTAACCACATATTAAACCATTAAGGCAACAACATATTGTAAAAATGTATTAAGATGTAACTATTTAACTTTTTCTTAGTAGTTATAGTAGGTATGTAATAAAATGCAATAATCATTCATAGACGATAGGTCAATTGTATATATTATGTATTAATTGTTAATGTAATCAGAAACAGTTCAGATAGGTTCTGATAAATTAACTGTAAAAACTAAGAATTTTTTTTTAAAAAGCTACAATAAGGTATGCGGCGTCTGCTAGAATTTTTATTCTAATAAAATTGAGACATTGAATACAATTATATATTTTGTGTTTATTTTTTGAATAGACCCCGAACTTGTGAGTTGTGATATAATGTGTGATAATTAGGGCAGAGAAGTTATAGGATTTGCATGTTTTATTCTGGGCCTCTATTTTATAGCAAACCAAGATATAAATATAAGTCATAGGCCCCACAGTTGAAATCTAAAATTTTTGTTTGCATATTTTTGCATATTTTAAAGATTTAAAAAAAAATTGCATATTTCGTTATTTTGTGCATATTTCATGTATATTCTACATAAAAACTGTATGGTATTATTATATACTGTATAGTATATATACATTGTACACCACCCGATGCCCGTGTAGACTATATGTACTATATTATAGGTACCCACATGGCCACATATTTTAGGTGGGCATTCGGATAATGTTATCGAAGATAAGATTTGACAGATTGGCATTTAAGTATCTATATTAAATTTTATATTAACATATCTATAATATTAACATATTTTATATTAACATTATTATGTGTCCAGAGTCCACTGTTCGTCAGTAATCTTGTTAGTATATTGTTAAGTGTCGTTCGATATGAAACTGCGTGCCGTTTGTTGTGTTTTCCATTCTTACATTTTTCTTTTAATATATTTTCTACTAACATTTTGCACAATGTCAAAAATAAATGCAAATATATTTAACAAGCATGTGAAACAGTTTAGTGAAGATACATTAATTGCTACCGATGGTACTATGCTTTATTGTAAGATTTGCGAAGTTAAAGTAAGTGCTGATAAAAAATGTACAGTAACTCAACATATAAAAACAAATAAACACGAACGGTTATTAGCTCGTTGAAATAAACCTGCAGAAAATAAACAACAATTTATATCACAGCCGTCAAACAAAAAATCTGTTTTTCACATGATTTATATGTAAGGCTATGATGTGTGCAAACATTCCTTTACATAAAATTTCTAATGTTCAATTCCGATCGTTCCTTGACGTTGAGGAAAACTTATACAAACGATTGCTATTTAGAAGCTATTGATCAAATATTAGAAAAGACGTTGTAGGAAATAAAATATGGGTTTCTATAGATGAAACGACAGATGTACAAGGGAGATATATTGCAAACGTAATAATCGGAACTCTACTGAAAGATAGACCCGGAAAAATATATTTACTATAAACACCGAAGTTTTAGAAAAAGCCAATTTTTCTACAATAACCAAACTTTTTGACAGCTCAATGTTTCTCTTGTGGCCCGACGGTGTTCGTCATGATGACGTTGTCCTATTTTTAAGCGATGCTGCGCCATACATGAAGAAAGCAGGTACAACTATCAAGGCTTTGTACTCCAAGATGATCCATATTACTTGTATAGCACACGGATTACATAGGTTGGCAGAAAATATTGGGAGTCATTTTCCTAGAGTTGATAAACTAGCAGCAAAAGGAAAGCAAGTATTTTTAAAAGCACCTTCGCGTGTTTTATTTTTTAAGACAGAAGCTCCCGGAGACCCTCTTCCTCCCGAACCAGTACTTACACGTTGGGGTTCTTGGATTGAAGCTACTTCTTATTACTGCCAATATTTTAAGCAAGTACGAGATGTTATGCAACATTTTGGTTCTAACGATGCTGTATCTATAAAAGAATCTCAAACCGTTCTAAATGAAATTTCAATGGAACCAAATTTAAGTTTTATACATTCAAATTATGGGTTTATTTTGGTTTAATTATGGGAAAATTATTTCTGCTATTAAACGAGAATTTTTAATTCGTATTGAATGTTGTTTACAGCACCATGATGCACAGTTCGAACAATTTGTTAGATAAATAAAAATTTTAGGAATAAAAAAAATCAATGTTTGTATTTTTATTTTACGTATTTATTATTATTTTATAATCTGTTTTATAATCAGACTAACTCGGCCATTTTTTAACTTAGAAAAGAAATTCAACCACTGAAATTCATTAAAAAATAATTTGTGATCAAAAATAGGTCATGCCATTTAAAAAAATTAAATGTCACAAAAATAGTCTAATTACTTGAAAATGTGTATAATAATGATTATTAGTTAGCCAAAAAAACAGAATTGAAATATATGAAGCCTACACATAGTTATTGAGTGTTTCCACTTATCGTGATCACACTGTATATAAGCACAACTTTATTTGATAAATATTCTAAGTTAGGGTGACCATCTTTAAAAAAATAAAATACAGGACAAAAATATTATTATATTGTTATATTTTGATAATTTAATATATAATATTTTTAAATTAATAATTATTTATTTTATTTTTTGTTGTCCAATAAAATAACGCTTGTGAACGACATAGATATATTATTAGGCTATTATTAATATTTATTTATTTCGCAATATGCTCACATTTGATTACGAACTGGTCGCGCCGGTCGGTAAATATTATACTATTATACGTCCCGGTTTACGTCGCCGACAACAATGTGATGCTACAATAATAATGGTAAAAACAAAAATCCAAAAATACAATTGAAAAGTAAAGATTCTTATATTGTTCTATTCAATAAAGCAATTTTAAAAATTTCAAAAATTATATACATTAACAATAAGGCATAAAACGGGATTAACATGGGACAGACTTGAAATTACGGGACAAAAAGCATCCTGAGAGAAGTTTGTCAGGACAACAGGACACAAAGCCGAAATAAAGGACAATCCTGTGTAAAACAGGACGTATGGTCACCCTATTCTAAGTTTAAAATTGGAAGGAATTAGATATTTAAACAAAAATAACGATTTTCTAGTTATTTTGCTGTAATTTAAAAATATTATTTGTGAGTGCTTGAAACTGAAGCACCTATCTATTATTATATTTTATACACACAATAAAATTCTCAAATACAATTTTTTCGGAAAAAATTAATTGAACCAACTGTATAACTAATACTTATTATTAAAATAAATTACTTTAATAACATTATAATATGATAAAATAGTTATACATAGGCTGACAGGCCATTTCCGCTCATAAATCGTTTTTCGTATGCATTGATTTATCATTGAATTCAAATTCAACTCAATATCTATTATAACAGTGACCCAGTTGCCAATCTTTTTTAATTAATTAAATTTAATTATTGTTAATTTATTAGTATGTATTTTATGTTACATTATATTTTAATATTTACGTCCGAATAAATATTGGACAACGAAATATTGAATAAGTACTTACCTAATTACTATAATGTACCTATTGATTAAACTAAAAGTAGAGATTCGTTTTAAGTCCGTTTTTCAACAAAGATTATTTGCACAATAATAAAGGAAACGTCGACTCAAAAGGCAACATACGTGGACTGTGTGATCAACTTATCTAAATCCAATTGATGGACGTGTACCTAATGCCTATATTATGTGCTTGTCAGCTTGGGCTGTATACACGTAATTTCTAATTTCTCGATCGCCAATCAATTTTTTCGAAAAAAAATCACAATACACCTAAGTCCATCTTTCACAATCCGACTCAGAATCTATATGACACGCAACAAGGTCTTGACACTCGATCGTCTCGGAGGACTTTGAAAACGTTATTCTTCCAACAGTGTCGTTATTTCCTCGAAGACACAATATAATAATTCTTTAGGAGAATAGACATATTATTGGTACACAATACACATCGTATTGTTTTCTACGTACCATCAAGGTCGTAATAACAACTAATAATTCGAGGCACTGCGAAGCTGTTACGAAATAGTTTACACGGACAAACCGACGCGATTGTAATACAAGTTATAAAAAATAAAACATCAACGTCGTCCTGTGCCAAATTATCTTATAATAATCCTCTTCGATGTCCAATAGTAAAAAATAATAACCGACTCTTTTACTGGGAGGGGTAGAAAAAAATGTTATACTTGGGCTGGTGTCCCACAACTATAGTGTTGTTTCATTCCGACCATCTGACATATTATACCAAAAAGAAATAATATAAAAATTAAATAATAGTATAAAACAAAATGTTTTCATGAAAAAGTAAAAGCTATATTGTATACTTAAGTAATGCAAATAATCAAACATTTTAATCGATGTTTGTTCATAAA